TGGGGGGAGTATTTAAATGTAATTTGGTCTGATATACCACTTTTTAATTAATAGAGGTCTTTTGTTATTTTTAGTACTCCACTTATTCGAGGCATGTTTTTTCGTGATATAATTGTTGTGGAAGGATAAACAGGCTAAGGGGATGCGTGAAAAATGTTGGCCACACTACAAAGATTGGAGAATTATTTTTGGCAATGATCGCGCAACAGGAGAATTTTCGATGGATCTTGTTGAAATGGTTGGAGGGAATGACAATGAGGATGCAGACCATGAAGTTGACCCGCCAGGCATTAACAATGAAAATAAGACAAATGGCGTAAGTCATAGTACGACTCAAGGCATGGATGTTTTCACTAACACCCCCACTACCAAAAAGACGAAGAAGAGAAAGGCTTCGATAGCTGCCAAGGTCATTGTAGGTAGCTTGGGTGATATGACAAGGGTCTTAGGTGATTATGTTGCTACTTGTGGTTGTAACCTCGATAATATTGCACAATGGGTAGGCCATGCCCAAGATGTTTCTGAATCGAGGAGAAGAATCTTTGCTGAACTTGAGAAAATTGGGTGGCTTGATGAGGATCTACTCTATGAGGCTGGTTATAGAATTGCCTCTGTTCCGGTTAAGGTGGACCTGTTCTTTAGCTTGTCTGACGCTTCAAAGTCATATTGGGCAAGTGTAACGCCCCAAAAATCCGGGGGGGGGTCCTTAATTTAACAAAATTCGGGCATAGTCTCCTTTGTACGAGGAGCTCTACCCAAAACACAACCTGTGCAATTATACTACATTGACCACACCGGGTCTATTTATGAATAAATATTGACCACACCGGGTCCATTTATAAGTGAACATTAAAACAGTCCATATGAGTTCGATTTGTAATGTCCCAAAATCCCCATTGGACAACATTACTATCTAAAATTATTTACATCATGAGAGCACTAAATAAATCTATCAAATAATAAAATTTCGTTCACCATATGTAATATCCATAGTATCATCCCAAAAAAATAGGCTAAGCTATTGCAATTACATTCCAAAAGAATTACATTTAAACTTAGCAGCGGAATAAACAAAATACTAGACTATACATGATCGTAAATAAATTTCTTAGTTTAGCACAAAAATAAACTATAGTTCTAGACGTCCACCTCGGGATCTAGGTTTTCTTTTGGTGGAGCCTCCCAATTTCCCGACTCGTTAACTCTGGGATCTTTCTCTAGCACGAAGTCTGAAAAAAAAATATTATTGGTAGGGGGTGAACACTAAGTTCTGTAGGAAAATCCTCTCAAACTCTAACAAGGTTTGGAAAACGTAGAAAATGATCGGTCTTATTTCACAAATTGCATACGTAAATTTTGAAAGAAAATATGATATTTTTAAAAGATCTCAAGTTTATACATTAACAATAATTAAGTACAAGAGTAATGTCAATCTCACCATAAATAACCATTCCAAAGAGTAATCATTTTCACAACAATTTTCAAGATAATCAAAAGATAACGCAATAAATAATAAGTACAATGTATCTCAAATCTGATGTAAGATAATCGCATGAATAAACACATAAAGAATATCCTGACTTACACACACATAAATCCTCGCAAGGATATCAAACTTCGGGAAGGGCGGCTACCGATGCATTGTCCCATACCAATGCACCGGCAATAACGAATCCGACCCAGGCATAATATACTAATTCTTTGACACGGCACCTGTGAGTTAATAGTGGTTTGGTCCTCGCAAGGCGCCAACCCCACTACGAGTGGTAGGAAAAGTTCAAACCCGCACAGAGTAAGAACCACACACATCTACCTACTCTACGATACCCAGTCAACGGCCACCCATGGTTATCCAAACACCTCCATGAGATACAATCACCAACAATTTCTCAACAAAAGTTCATAAGTAAATCAAAAACCCTCCAATTCCATAGGTATTTTCCTAATGGAGCAATTTCAAGAAAACAAAATATGGAAAAGATCATCAAACATATATTTTTATTGTTCAAACAAAGCACTAGAGTTTTGAAATCAAGAATAAGGAATATTAAGAAGAAAAATCTTTATTTCTTAACATAAACAAGGGTTTTGAGATTTCAAGGATTTCATGGCTATCAAACCATAACTTCATTCAAAATATGATAATATTTGCAAGAGTATCAAGGAATAATGATTTCATAAAATATATCTAAGATTTAGAAGCAAAATATACATAGATATAAATCTTAGCCTCAATGTAGGAGAATAAGAAAAAATCCTACTTAAAATCAAGAATTTCAAGCAAAATCCAAGCTTTAGAGCCTTTTTTCTTCCCTTTTCTTCTTCCCTTTTTATTCTCCTAGGGTTCTAAGAGGTTTAGGGTGAGAGATGTGAGAAAAAAATGAAAGAAAAGGGTTGAAATCTGTGTTTTAAACACAGCAGTCCGCGACAGTTACTGTTCACAGGCTGATTTTTGGGTTTTCTCCAAAATTACGGTTTTGTCACTAAAAATCTCTAATTTGATTCATAAGACTATTCTAAGGTTTTTCGACGTTCCAGATTCATTTTTAATGTTATTTTAATCTAAAAATATTTAGTTTTTTGATTTATCTCAAAACTAAAGTAAATTTACACTCGAAATACTAAAATTATTATTTTATTCCTTCGAACCTGCTATATGTGCTAAACGGCTATTCTAAGTTTTTTGGATCTCTCAGGTTCAATGATAATATTATTTTGACCTAAAAAAATTAATATTTTTACTTAGTTACCCTTATTAATCTTAAACACCTCCAAAAATTAAATTTTACAATTAATTTCTCCTTAGTATTTATTCATACTATTACAATCTATAGGGTTAATGCATACCTCATCACCTATATTAGCATTTCAAAAATAATTACTTGCTATATAAAGATAAGAGTGTGGGGGTTTACAACAAGGAAGTTGTTGTACCGATTGAGCTACCAACAGATGTAGGGTTAAGTATGATACTTTTCTTTTGGCGTGATATAGGTGAAATTAGTCATATAGACCTTATAAAGTGACATGGTATACTGTCCACTTTTTTTGCTTGTTCGTCTATATCCGTATGTAAAATATGGTTAAGTACATTTGGGTGTTATTTTTTATGAAGTTTGAACAACTTAACCGTACATGCATAATGACGTGATGTTTATTAACACTTGCTTTTTTTATTGGTATGCACTTGTATAGAAATGTACTAACATGTGTTTAGTTAGATAAGTGATGCTAAGGAGAACACGTTTTTACGTCGTGTTTGTTGCAAGACAAGTTGGTGTCTATACGGTATGGCAAGAATGTCATGTGCAAGTGAATAGGTACCCGAGCACGTTGTACAAGTCTTACGATTCATACGACGAGGTTGAAAACGCATTGCGTACATACATTGACAATGAAGACGTAGTAAGAGATGTCCAACATGAATGTGAAGTGGCTTTCTATCAAAATCAACCTTTGGATAATCTTCGTGTAGAAGATGCAATGGACATTCCTCTAGCAGCCCCGACAGTTGTTGGGCGCGATGACGAGGGCGAGGGAGACCGCAATGTCCGTAACTATCTCTTGTATGTTGTAATATTTGTTTTGGGTATGGTACTAACCCATATTCTTTACTTTTTTCGGGGTAGACTTTCTTGAACTATATTTGTATTTGGTTTGACACCTTTTGGACAATCTTTATGTTTAGTGTTTGTAATGTTACCTCCTATGTTTTGACATTAACTGGGGAATGTATGAATGTGGGTAACATTATGAATGAGTTTCTATTGTAATTGATTTTTGTGTTATGATATGATTTTGTATTGTTTAATGAATTTGTATAAATTGGTGGTGTGTCAATGGTTTGTGTATTTGGTTTGCACAATATTATGTAAAAAATATCGATTACTCGAATTGGTGCTGCAGAAAGTAAAGTGTTGATAGCGTTGTTGTTTCGAATTAAACAACGGGGCATAGTGCCTGAATGAGGCTGCATGACAAATCAACACTTCAGGAATCTGTTAATGCGGGTGAAAAGGAGATTGACTGCATTTTGCATTGATCAAATTGACCTTGTCAAGATTCTTTTTTTTGAAAGAAGCAATACTTCATTATCAAGGCTATGTTGAAGACGAGGATGCTTGCTTGGGACTCGGCTAACTTCTGCGTCGTCGATGGGTAGATCGCTAGAGTGCGTGACTACTTAGTGGTAATTGTTTAATGCAAAGCTATATTAATGAATATCACCTTATGTCTCTTTGTTTCACATTTGCTTGAATTATTGATTTGTTTAAGAGTGATTAACTTGCAGGCAAACAAGTTTGCAAGAACACATTGCATTGGTCCATGTCCTTTGTTCGAGTAAATAATAGAGGTTTTCGACGTGTCCCCAGAAGAGCTGATTGAAAGTGTGGGCTCCAGTTCGGGTGGTGATCTAGTAGAAGACATAGAGATTATCGATGTTTTTGATTAAGCTTAGTCCCTGTCAGAGTATGACCGTATGAAAAATATGCTTTCCACATGCTATTTTGGTTTTTGGGTATGAATGTATGTGGTAGTAGTTACTGTTCAAGAGTCCTAGGGAGTTTCATCTTTTGAGAATCCCCTTGGCCTGTTTATATTATGTATGTAAAAAAGTTTATGGTGGATGTTTTAAAATTGCTTGTGGAGCCAGCTGTTATTGCTATTTGGTGGCTCTTAGCTCCTTGCACTGATGAATGCACAACACATCAACATATACACTGCATCAAGCACATCAATTGTCACTATATATAAGATACTAGTGCAAGGAGCTAAGAGCCACCAAATATCAATAACAGCTGGCTCCACAAGCAATTTTAAAACATCCATCATAAATTTTTTTACATACATAATATAAAGAGGCTAAGGGGATTCTCAAAAGATGAAACTCTCCAGGACTCTTGAACATCAACTACTACCACACGCATTCATACCCAAAAACCAAAATAGCATGTGGAAAGCATATTTTACATATAGTCATACTCTGATAGGGACTAAGCTTAATCAGAAACATCGATAATCTCTATGTCTTCTGCTGGATCACCACCCGAACAGGAGTCCACACTTTCAATCAGCTCTTCCGGGGACACGTAGTCGAAAACCTCCATCATTTTCTAGAACAAAGGACAGTGATCAATGCAATATGTTCTTGCAAACTTGTTTGCCTACAAGTTCATCATTCTTAAACACATCAATAATTCAAGCAAATGTGAAAAAAAGGGACATAAGGTGATATTCATTAATTTAGTTTTGAATTAAACATTTACCACTAGGTAGTCACGCGCTTCGGCGATCGGCCCATCGACGACACAGAAGTCAGCCAAGTTCCAAGCAAACATCCTCATCTTCAACATAGCCTTGATAGTGAAGTATTGCTTATTCCAAAAAAAAAAAGAATTTTGACAAGGTCAATTTGATCAATGCAAGCAGTCTCCTTTTCACTCGCATTAACAGATCCCTGAAGTGTTGGATTATCATGCTGCCTTGTTCAGGCACTATGCCCCGTTGTTTGTTTCGAAGCAACAACGCCATCAACATTTCACTTTCAACAGCACTAATTCGAGGAATCGACATTTTTTACATAATATTTTGTAAACCAAATGCACAATCCATTGACACACTACCAATTTAATACAAATCCATTAAACAATACAATCATATCATAACACAAAAATCAATTACAATAGAAATCCATTCATAATGTTATCCATATTCATACATTCCCCAGTTAATGTCGAAACATAGGAGGTAACATTACAAACACTAAACATAAAGATTGTCTAAAAAGGTGCCAAACAAAATACAAATATAGTTCAAGAAAGTCTACCCTGAAAAAAGTAAAGAATATGGGTTAGTACTATACCCAAAACAAACATTACAACTTACAAGAGATAGTTACCGACATTACAGTCTCCCTTGCCCTCGTCGTCGCCCCTAACAAATGTCGGGGCTGCTAGAGGAATGTTCATTACTTCTTCTACACGAAGATTATCCAGAGGTTGATTTTGATAGACAACCACTTCACATTCATGTTGGACATCTTTTACTACGTCTTCATTCTCAATGTATATACGCAATGCGTTTTCAATCTTGTCATACGAATCTTAAGACTTGTACAACGCGCTCAGGTACCTATTCACTAGCACACGACATTCTTGCCATGTCGTATAGACACCAACTTGTCTTCCAACAAACTCAACGTAAAAACGTGTTCTCCTGAGCATCACTTGTCTAACTAAACACATGTTAATACATTTCTATGCAAGTGCATACCAATATAAAAAGCAACATCACCTCATTATGCAAGCACGACTAAGTTGTTCAAACTTCATAAGAAATAACACACAAACGTACTTAACCATATTTTACATACGGACATAGGTGAACAAGCAAAAAAAGTGGACAGTATACCATGTCACTTTATAAGGTCTATATGACTAATTTCACCAATTTCACGTAAAAAAAAAAGTACCATACTTAACCCTACACCGGTTGGTAGCTCAATCCGTACAACTACTTCCTTACCCAAGATGATTTTGAAGCGTCAAGACAAGCTAAAGAACAAGTCCACTTTAACTGGATCAGAGGCAATTTTGTAACCAGCCTCATAGAGTAGATCCTCATCAAGCCACCCAATTTTCTCAAGCTCAGCAAAGATTCTTCTCGATTCAGAAACATCTTGGGCATGGCCTACTCTTGTGTAATATTATTGAGCTTACAACCACAAGTATCAACATAATCACCTAAGACCCTTGTCGCATCACCCAAGCTACCTACAATGACCTCGACAACTGTCAAAGCCTCTCTCTTCTTTGTTTTTTTGGTAGTGGGGTGTCAGTGGAAACATCCATGTCTTGAGTCGTACTATGACTTGTGCCATTTGTCTCATTTTCATTGTTAATGCCTGCTGGGTCAACTTCATGTTTTGCATCCTCATTGTCATTCCCTCCAATCAGTTCATCATGATCCTTCGAAAATTCTTCTGTTGTGCGATCGTTGCCAAAAAATAATTTTCCAATCTTTGTAGTATGACCAACATTTTTCATGAATCCCCTTAGCCTGCTTATCCTTCTACAACAATTATACCACGAAAGAACATGCCTTGAATAAGTAGAGTACTAAAAATAACAAAAAACCTCTATTAGTTAAAAAGTGATATATCAGACCAAATTACCTTTAAATACTCCTCCTAAACATCATCAGAATCAATCTCGATTTTGTTATCAGTGTCATTAAACCCGAAACCACTCATGTTTATCACAGATAGTATACAATTATACTGCCTCTTCCACATTTTTATCTTTGATTCAATGTGTGGTTGTGCACAAAGCGTACTGTTGTCAATTCTTTGTTCTAGCATCTACAGATAACCTGGCCTGAATGTACCATTAGTACACTTCAACCCTGTTGCACATAGATCCTTCAGTGCGTATAATAGTTGTGTCTCTTCCGCACTTGTCCATATTTGCCTTGTACCTTTTTTCATTTGAATACCACTCATAACATGTGATCTGCCAACACTAACCATTTTCTATGTATATATATACACATATATTTATCAGTCTAAAGTGAATATGCAATGTAAAATCAATTACAATACGACAAATATAGAATATATTGCATAATAACACCACCAAATAAATTGCATTACATTTAGGACAACTATTAATCAAACCAGAGGAAGTATCAATAACACATTACAAACATATCAGCCATTTAGTCTACTAAATTGAACATCGCAAAATAACCACCTCCCCCCCCCCCAAATTCATCTACCCATCTGCCATGCCTCGTACATTTCATTCACCAACTGAGTCCTTCAAGCAGTCCACGCATTAGAGGTCTCAACACTGTCAACTACATTGGTGTTGGTATTGTCATCGTCCACATTAAGCACATACTCAAGTATGTGGTCTTCCAATAGGTCAACTAACATCTCATTTCTAATGAAATTATGTAACAGGCAAGAAGCAACAATAATTTTGTTATGTGTGAGGACTGGTTACAAACAGGCAATTCGCATCTTAAGAAGAGCAAAATAGGTCTCAATAACATTCTAGGCAGAGGAATGTTTTGGGTTAAAATATTCCTCAACATTACGAGGAGCTGCCCTTCCACTTCTAAATTCGTCAAGATGTTATCGTTGACCCTTAAAAGGAGCTAAGAAACTCTCACCATTGGTGTACCCAACATCACATAAATAAAATGTGCTTGTCGTAATTGTGTATATACCTATTAGCAAACAATTTCCAAAAAAAAAAGACTAATGCTAAAAATTTTCATTATAGCTTACCCCGTTGAACATGTAAGCCAATACATCTTGTAAATGCGTCACGAAGGACTCTTGAATCTACCGCTAATCCCTCCTAACCAGGCAAAACATAAATGATTCTCATGTCTGACGCACATACACCTAACACATTTGTTGCATTTTGCCCTTTCTTTGTCCTATATCTTGCTTGGTGCACAAGTGACACTTTTGCTCTAATGAGAGTGTCGTCTAAAGCCCTAACACAGTTCTATGCAAATGAAAATAAACATATTATCAATTGATATTTCGCTAACTACATACTATGAAACAACTCAAATGTGGATATACTTTAAAAAAACTTAGAATACCTTAAAAAACTTCCACTTATGGTCAGTGTATTCATCTGTGATTGGATCAGGGACTACAAGCAGTAATCAACGTAGCCTAAGAACCGCCAACAACACTGCATTGAAATACTTGCTAATCGTCTCACCATATCTAATGAAACTGAATTTTACTGGTCTATTCTTATGATCATGACTAATAATGCCCAAGAACATAGCTACCATCTCTTCAATACTAACATTCCTTGTACAACTGAGCCTATTAACCTGTTGAACTAGTGTGCACAATATAGAAAAAGATCGTTGGTCCATCATAAGTTGATTGTAGCATGTTATATCACTTTCACCTATCAATCTAATAAGATGCTCTATTTGTAGTCGGGTTCACGTGACTGAGCTTGGGATCCTATTGTTGTTTTGAATTTCATGAAATTCTAGCAAATTTGCAATCACAGCAAACAGATATGAGCATATCATAACTATATCAGAGATAACACTATCCAAAACAACTACCAATGGCACACTGAGATCATTGTCTTCTTTCATAACTACTGTCACTCACACAAATTACAGTAAACATCCACAGTCAACAAGCAACACTTGTTATGGAGCGCTTTAAATTTACCAAAACAAAACATATTATAGGAACAAACATGCATTAGATATCATTACAACAAAGAATACATCTTTTTTTTTTAAAATATAAAAAAAATCATAACCATTGGACTGAAAATAAAATCATACAAACATTCTGGGCATTATAAGGGCTAAAATATGGATAGGGGCAACAAATAAGAAAACAAACTACCCAAAAATTGAATATGTCTAGCGACTAAAACAAGGAAAAAAAAATATTTTTGCTTTGTATTTCACTTTCCAAAATAAATGGTTAAAAAAACAAAAAATAACAACATTTGAAAAATTCGGACATTTTGGGGGTGTATTTCACCAGCGATTGAGAAATTAGAAGACCAAAATATCACAGATCGCAACCAATCTTTCCCACAGAGGTTGACATAAACCAAATCGCCAGCAATTGTCTCCCTGTCTTACACCATTAACACAACATTAGCGTAATCGACGTTGACAACAAATTTGAGAAGATTCATAAGAACGTACTTGTGTATGGTTTACAGAAAAAAGAGGTTCAACAGCGTTGAGAGTGATTAGAGAGATACCGGCGTTCAGAGTGGCTAGGGAGATACTAGCGTTCATAGTGGCCAGAGAGATACTAACGTTCACAGTAGATAGGGAGATACCAGCGTTCACAGTGGCTAGAGAGATACCAGTGGCCAGGGAGATACCATCGTTGAGAGTGACTAAGGTTTCAGAATCGTTAAGAGTGGCTATGGTTTCAGCAGTGTTGAGAGAGGCGAGTGGCTAGGGTTTCACCATCGTACACAACAGTTAGGGTCTGAGAATTGTTGAGGGAGACGACTGATGGTTTCAACATTGAGTGAATCTAGTGGCTAGGGTTTGTTGGTAGAAAGTTGGCTTTTATATGGGGATACTATATATGAGGGCATTTGTGTCATTTTACTCGCTTATACTGTCCTTTCATTTGTACCGGGAAGATAATACCACCAAGTAGGTGTTATTCATTAATACCATGTACAAAGCATTTAGGGCACTGTTCAAACCGGGTCGGTATTACGACCAGGAAAATAGTACGAGATGTAAAATGCCAAAAGAAGAAGGCATAAGGTGGGCCCCACGTACTATTTCCTTCTATCCCACCTTATAATACCATCTAATCCTTGAAACAAACATGTGATAGTGTATCCCATCTGAAACCATTTCCATATTTTTAATCACCCTACCACTCAATCTCAAAACCCTAGGCAATCCTCTTAGCTGCTAGATGTCTATACATTGACTAATTAAATCAATGTGTGGGATACACTGTTTTTGTTCTTTTGTTCATTTACAATAGAAATTTAACCTACATTTCTGAATATGTACTAACAAAACTTTTCCGATTGTTGTCTCAATTATTTTGGGGTGGGCTATGTGTTGCCCACTACAATATATTTTTGATAGCATGTTATGATTGACCAGAGTTTGATAAACTGGATGATTATATTAAAAAAAATTGAGATGTTTTCTCTTTTGACTGTTTGGCAATATTTCAAACGATATATGACGAATTCTTATTTAAACAAGATCTAAGATTTTGAATTTTGCAAACTTAAAACCTAATTCTCTATTGCATTTGCAGGATGACTTTTATGGTAGCTGAAGCCTAAAGACAAAAGGGGTTTTTATTGCAGGAGCTGTCTTTGTGGTTGTAAGATGATTCTTAATGTATATTTCGACATGTACTTTACCAAAGCTACTACTCAGCAGCCATCTCACAAAACAAATCGTGCTAGCTCAACTGTTGGAATGATGGGATGTGCATAATGAGACTAATAAGTTCTAAACTTTGCTTTTTGGAAGTTATATTAGCATATGTAGTGTCTCTGGAATTGTATTGTCTGATTTTATGTAAAATATGGATCGTGAGTATTTTTGTTGTGGTAGTGCAAAGTGATTAAAATTAATTTTAAATAAAATAGTAAAAAGATACAATAACTTGTGATTTAATAGAAAATACGACCCTTAATAGAATAAAATTGAAAAACATGATTCATATAATCGACTACAAAAATGTTTGAGACAAAATAGTCGAGTTGAGTTGGGTTACAATAGTGAATTAGATTAATAAATTAGGTATTAGTAGCTCAATTACTTTGGATAGACATCTCAACATGGCCCAGTTTTTCAGTCTCTCTACTCAAAAGTGCCTAATTTTGTCTCAACCAACAACAAATAGCTTCACTAGCAGTGGATTGGAATAAGAAAGTAATACAATCAGACAAAGAACACACTGATTTATGTGGATCAATAGCTCAACTATGTTATGCTCTGTTTCACCCAGACTTTTATGCCTACTGAGTGTGCATTAATCACTATCTCTGAAAATTTATCACAACTTTGAAAAATCCACCCCCCCTCCCCCACCAAAAAAGAAAATCTATTTCCTCAGACACCCCCAATAATGACCTAATCTATTGATATGATCTATTGACTTACGTCAATCTTGCTGTTGAATTAATAGTGATTCCCAATTTGTTTTGGGTCCATATTGTCACAAAATCACAATTTACTAGCATGTTAGCGGGGAGTAATAAATAAGAACAATTAAACATGCCAAAATAGTCACAATCTCATAAGAATCACTTTAATTGAATTATGCGCATAATTTATAAGCTACTATACACATCAAATTTTCTCAGTCATAAACATAAAACTGATATAGTTGATGCACTTACACATAAAAACTTCATTGTGGAAAAATCTTAAACTAGATAGCCTTGCATGTTTCAAGAGAGAGAGAGAGAGAGAGAGAGAGAGGGGCCAAGAAGAAGAGGGCAAAGGAGTAATAAAGGAGACGCTAAGGTTAATGTGCCAGTAGAAAATGCCAAAAAATGAGAGAGAGAGAGAGAGGGGGCCAAGAAGTAAATGGCAAAGGAGTAATGAGGGACACCCTAATGTTTAATGTGCTAGTAGAAAATGGCAAAATGGGATAGTAAAAGACACCCAGATAAGAACAAATTGAAGGCACAAAGTCAAAGAGGGTTTCAACTTTATTGCTAAGGTTTAATGCACTAATAGAAAATGGCTTAACGGATTAGTAAAAGACACCCAGAGAAGAACAAATTCAAGGCAGGAAGCTAAAAGGCCTTCAACTTTATTGCATTCAGAAAGATCAGAATTGACCCGTTTTTCTTTTTAGAAACACACCCAAACAAAACCCACTTTTTAAAATCCTTTCCTGGGACAGATCCGACAAGGGAAAATTTTGGGTCGGGGGATACACTTTTTTTTTTTTAATACAGCCACACCCATTATTAGTTCAAACTCTAATAAAAAGACATAAAGTTGTAAGTTTTAATGTTATATAGAGTTCATTTTTAATCTAATGGTTGAATTGAATTAAGTTAAAGTTCTTAAATTATGTTTAAATAACATTCTTTCTAATAAAAAAGTGAGGTAAAAATCACATGATGTACAATTTGGTATAATTTACTCATTAACAAATGAGTAACCCAACTTGCATGGGGCGTTCAAAGCCACGGGGTTGGACTTAGACAAACCGTAAACTCGAACGTCAAGAGTTTGATTTTCATTGGTGTTTTTTAAATTTAACTGATATATGTGATTTGCGAATAATTATAGGTATCAAGATTTACTCTTGTTGGGATGGTCAAAAGTGACCTTACCTTGAAGAAGTTTCTCGTTGGAAAAAAAAAGAAGAAAGAAACTAACTTGATATTTCTTATACAATATCCCCGGATTTAGTCTAAAATCAGTAAAACCCACAAGGAATATTTGTTTTTTGGAAAATTTGTGTGACCTAAACCCAAGTAACATTGAAAAGTCGTCAAGAATTTTCCTTGAAAGTTGTTAGGCCATAGTCGCCTGGTTGATTTCTTTTTCGCTTTATATTAATCATCAACCGACAAAATCACAATGAAATCTAAGTTCAAATGTTAGACCCATCCACCGGTTCAAAAGCGTATGTACTTGGAGCTAGAATTTTACAAAAACCCACCTAAGCCGGTGTACATCGGTTATTTCAAATATACAGAAGCACACACAATTAATATTTCAAAAATGTTCACAAGCAGTGATAAGGTTGAGTTACGTAGAATTATCATTTTACATCAGTTAAATATATAGATGTGTGTGTATGAATTTTTTGACATCTTTTCTTGGAAATGAGGGTTTTTATGAGCAAGTTTTACCCAAGAGATCATGTTTATTCATATCAAAGTTTGCTATTATGTTGAGTATGAGATCAAACCCAATATGAATTGTGAATCTTTACAATCAAATCACGACGACGTAAAAACTGAATTAAGATTTTAAGGGGTGGGTTGTCAAGACTATTATTCCCATGCAATGCCAGATAAAAATCACATGATGTACAAATCTCTATAATTTATTCATTGACAAAGGAGTAACTCAGCTTGTAAGGGGAGTCCAGAGGTGTGGAATTGGATCTAGACGAACATTAGGGGTTTAATAATTGTTGGTGTCTCTGAAATTTAACTGATACTTGTTATTTGTGAATGATTATAGGTATCCATGATGGGTCCAAAATGACTGCCCTGAAAAAGTTCCTAAAAAGAATAACTTATACATTTCTTATACAATACCCTGGGATTTAGTCTAAAATCAGTAAAACCCACAAGGAAAATTTGTTTTTGGGCAAATTTATGTTACCTAAACCCAAGTAACATTGAAAAGTCATCATGAATTTTAACTTGAACGTTGAACAGAAGTAGCATTTCCTTGAACGTTGTTAGTACAGGCCACAGTCGCTGCCACGGTCGCCTGGTTGATTTCTTTTTCGCTTTATATTAATCATCAACTGACAAAATCACAATTAAATCTAAGTTCAAATATTAGACCCATACACTGGTCAAAAGGGTATGTACTTGGAGCTAGAGTTTTACAAAACTCCAAGTCGGTGTAACTTTTCTAGAAATCTGAAAAACGTGTTGAGAATCACACATAATTAATATTTCAAAAATGTTCAGAAGTAATGAAGGACGGAGAGTTATGATTTTACATTGGTTAAATATATAGATGTATGTGTACAAATTTTTTGGCATCTTTTTTTGGAAGTGGGGGGTTTTCATGGATGAGTTTTACCTATGAGATCAGATTGATTCATATGAGAGTTTGTTATCATGTTGAGTATGAGATCAAATTCACTCAACATGATCGAGTCACAAAAGGAACGACTTACAAGTTGAATTAAGATGCATTAGTGTGATGTAGTGGCATAGTGTGAAGTCATTATATACAGAAAGACAAGTGAAACTGCTAAAGGATAATGATTATTATTAGATCAGTGTCGATAGAGAAGACCTCTGTGAGCATCGGGCACAGAATCGTTGTGCAATATTACAATGTTACAAGCAGATTTTAAGGGGTGGATTGTTTCCATAGATTCATATAGAGTCCAAGAAGAAAAGGGCAAAAGGGAGTAATGAAGGACATGATAAAGGCTCAATGTGGTTGTAGAAAATGTCAAAATGAAATAGTAAAAGACACCCAGAGAAGAACAAATTCAAGGTACAAAGGCTAAAAGGTTCTCAACTTTTATTGCATCCAGAAGATCAGATATGGCTTTTTTTTTAACACTGAAATTGACCACTTTTTATCTTTTCTAAGGAACAGACCCAAACAAAACCCACTTTTTTTTAATCCTTTTTTAGGACAGACCCGACAATGAAAAGTATTGGGTTGAGGGGATACCACTTATTTTTTAACAGATAGTCTCACCTATGTCTCAAACTCTCATAAAAAAGGGTGTGTTCCCATGCAATGCCAGGTAAAAAATTCACATGTTGTAGATTTTTGTAAAATTTTTAATCATTAAGAATTGACTAACCCGACATTTGTTGTACAATACCCTCGGATTTTGTCTAAAATTACCAAAATTCACGAGGCATCTTTGTTTTTTGATTGGGGTGAATTGCACTTTATACCCTTAAAAATAATTTTTTTTGCATATTGTACCCCCATAATATTAAAAGTGTTGTAGTGTAGTTTTTTCGTTAACTTCCGTTGCTCATTCCGTCAACTTCAATATAGGTAATTTTAGACGAAATAAACAACAAAAGTTAACACACTCATTGTCCCCGTCACCCATTGAGTTTTTTATGTTTTATATAAATCAATCGACAAAATCACACGTAAATTTAAGTTCAAATTGTAATCAATCGACAATTGGTATTTCCAACTTATGGTTAATAAATTTTGGATACTTATTATTGGCCATTATAAACACAAACCCACCCC